ATTGTATATAAATAAATCCATTTCAATATCATTCTGTCAGCACTGGGTACTGTTATTATTTGGGGGGGGCTCATTTTTGAGGTATTAAGATCTTCCAGTTTTCTTAGATTTTTGTATCCTAATTTCCAAGGGAAAAAGACACAGCTTAATCTGCTGATTCTTAGCTGATACCTAACATTACAGTTTTAGGCTCTATTTTGTTTTTGTTTTTTACTGAACATACTAGTCTACATTGAAATATAAGCTCCCATGTGCAGCTGGATTGGGAAAAATAACTTCTTATATTCTATAGCAAGAACCATAACTGTGATTAACAATAATTAAATGTATCAAAATACTTGGGAGAGAGGATTTTGAATGTTTTTAACACAAAGAAATAATATATATCCAAGGTGATGGGTCAGAGTCTCCTACATGGATGTCTGGAGACAAGTACTTGCAGCATTTTCTGCTGCCTCTATATATCAGCATGAAGCTGGATGAGAAATGCAGCAGCCTCACACACTGCTAAGGGATGTGGGCATTCCAGGCAGTGAGTTAGTGACTGGGTTACATGTAGGGTGGGATGGGGGGAATGTTTCCTTTGAGGCATCTTGCATGTATCATAATGCAGTCCCTATTTCCATCACCAACACTGCTGTGTTATTAGCTCTGAGGGAATCCTTAAGAGGCCTAGGGGTCCTGAAGCATTTCTGACCTGTCAGAAGGCTTTCTCACCATTGTATGCTCCAAAGAGGAAAACACAAATACTAAGAAGGCAGGAGAGACTCAATGGAGGAAACCATGGTGATGGGACATGGTGAATAGGGTTATGGCCACTGTCAGGTGACGCTTTGGGTTTTAGAGTGTAGTGTGGACCAAAGTTTCCTAGTTCTCTAGCCCTGTGCTGATGACTGAAGATACCTGACCCTTCTCTTACAAAAACATACTCAGTAATTTTTGCTGGTCCACAACTGCATGTCAGTACATTGCGTACTGGCAGCCAAGGGAGTGTGCAGCTTTTGCAGTCATTGCACTACCACCAAGAGATGTTAGTGCAGGCAGCATGTGGCTCAGAATAAGAGGGGGCTTGGAACTAGGTCTGAGCTATCTGTGAGAGGTTTTTTTGTACCCATATCTGCACCATCTTTTTGCTTCTTTTTTAAGGCTTTGTGCCAGGCAACAGGAAGTTCTGCCCTAATGTGCTTACCAGCTCTGTCTTCAAGGGGGTCCTTCCCTGAAGTGGCTCAAGACTGAAGAAGATGATGGGGGCTGCTGAAGGGACATGGAAGGGATTAGGATGGTCTAAAAATTTCATTAGGATGGACGAGAAGGTGCCAGAGAGAAGCTATTTGGTAGGATCAACTGAGCTATTTTAAAGGATAGAGCTGTGGAGGGGGGGTGGCATAGGGGATGGGGAGGTGTGGTGTCTAACAGCCCAGGGCCTCTGGCCAGTTAGGTCCCACTTGGCAGCTATGGATCCCTGGAGCTCAGCATACCCTTCCGCAAAGTGAGGCATACTCTGGACTGTGCTGGGAGCAGAGAGAAGCCAGCTGGGCAGAGGGTTGCAGTCCTACACCATCCATGGGGCTCTGTTAACACACAGAATGAAACTCCCAGGCAACCCTCAGTTAACACAGTGAGCTCACTTCCCCCTGCTCGGGAACATCCGTGGGTTATTCTCATTATAGTGGAGCTCCTGGGCCTAATACCTTTCCGGTAAGGCCTCACAGACCCAGCAGGTCTGTGCTGCCTGTCCACTCTGGCTCAAGTTTTCTGCTGCCTTCCCCTACAGGCCCATCTAGCCAGGCATGACTGTGCAGCTCCCTTTGACCTTTCCACGCCATGTGGTTCACTTTGGACCAAGAGGCTCCTCCTTGAAATTCAGCTGCCCCAGGCTCTTGGAAGAATCCATCCCTTCCTTGGTGACCTCTGTGTTTTGTACATGCTTGTGCTGTAGCACTTAGTGTGTTGTTCACAGCTGACCTCCCCACTATACTCCGAGGCCTTTGCAAGGCAAAGCCCTTCAACTTTTCCGCTTGTGGTCCTAGCACACAGCACAATGCAACAACCCCACAGGGTGAATATCTGACAATTGCTAAAATAATGGCATTTCATGGTCTAATGGGCTTTGAAATAGGCATCCATTAGCTGCAATCCTATATATAATCAAGAGACTACCAACTTCTCTCTGGCCTCTCACGGTCTCAAGTGCTGGATTAGCACTCAGCGAGGGCGGATTCAACCCCATGCTGCTCTTGGATTTACTGAAGAGCTTTAAAACTCTCAAAGTGCTGGCTGGCTCAGAACAATGAAATCTGAATCTCTGCATTTGTGCTGCCAAACCTCCCCAGGGGCTTCTAAGGTACAGCAAGGCTGACAGCAATTCTGAGTTAACAGTTCACGGCAGTGAATCACAAACAACTTGTGTTGTGTTCTGTGCAGCTAACACTGGGTTCGGCACATGACATGGGGTGATATTGAGGTGGGGTGGTGGTACTTGGCCACAGGAAGCAGGAGCCTTGGAGTTTCTCTGTTGCATGGGGCTGTCCATCAAGAGACTGCAGTCCTTAGGGCCACCATGTGTGCTGGTAAATGGCCTTGGTTAGGTCAGGGTTCCACAACAGTGGCATTTTGAGCTAGGGGATTCTTCCTTATGGGAGGTTGCATTTTGGGCAGTACGACGTTTGGAAACATCTCTGGCCTCTACCTGTTAGATTCCAACAGCAATCAACACCTCTCCCCTCCATCCAATGTACAACAACCAAGAATATTAGGTACATCCAAATGTTCTCTGGGAATAAGAAAATCGCTTGTGAAGAATCACTGACAGAGCTTCAGGTGGAGTATTTGAATGAGACCCCAGGTGATTGGCATGCACATGAAAGTCTGAAAAGCAAATAATGATCTACAGTGATGGTTCTAAAGGCCTGGCTCCCTGCCAGCAGCAGCAGAAACACCTGGGAGTGAACTGGAAATGTGTATTCATCCCATTCCTCACCCAGACCTACTGAATTCAAAACTGTGTTTTAATAATTTCCCTGAGTGATTTTCATAAATGTTCTAATTTTAGGGCCACTAACTAATCCAGAGAGGAAAGGGAAACGAAGCACTTCCAGCATGGCCTCACGGACCCTGCATGTCTGTGCTGCCTTTCCCCTCTGGCTCCCAGCTTCTCTTGCTGCCTTCCTGACAGGTGCTGTGTAGTAATCTGAAAACTCACAGAAACAGAGCTTGACCTTGGGTTTGAAATGTATAGGCTTCAAGGAAGCCACCCAGCTATAGGCAATTGCAATAGAGACTGGTCTCAGATGTAAGTTAGCCTCTTAAAAATCTTTCATTTCTTTATTTTTGTATATTTGAAAGGGAGAATAATAGGAGAAAGAAATTGAGACAGAAACTGGTTTACTCCAAAACTGACCACAACAATCAGAAATGGGCTATGCTGAAACTAGGAGCCCAGGATTTCATCTGAGTCCCCCATAGGGGTGCTAGGGACCCAAGGAATTGATCCATCACCAGCTTCCTCCAAGGGTCTGCATTAGAGGAAGCTGTGCAAGATGCAGATCTGGACCTCAAACCCACGTGAGCATCACAAACAGTGACTTAACCACTGGACCACAATACCCACCCCTAGGTTGGACTAGATATTCATATCCCTTACTTTAATGACTTTATTCAAACTATTTGCTGTCTCAGATTTTGGATAGAAAATTATTTCCTCACACTTTGTTCTGTGTTCATCAACTTGCTCAACAAAATTCTCAACAAACTTAACAGTTTATCACTTGTAAAACATAGGGGTGCACTGCTGATGAGTTGAGCATAATTCTGTTTACTATCAGACACATGCATAAACCATTACATATTTACAAATTTAATATCAGCAGATATATATATGAACCAGTACATATTTACAAATGCACCCCTCATTTATAGGGTTTTATTTTTGTGTGTGTTATGAATCGTGTTTTATAAAGTTAGTAACTCTGGGCCTGGCACGATGGTTCAATTGGCTAGTGCTTCCCTTAAAGGTGCTAGGATCCTATATGGGCACCAGTTCATGTCCTGGCTGCTCTAGCTCCCATCCGGTTCTTTGCTTGTGGCATGAGAAAGCAGTAGAGGATGGCCCAAGTTCTTGGGACCCTACACTTGCGTGACAGAGACCCGGAAGAAGCTTTTGGCTCCTAGCTTCAGATTGGCTTAGCTCTGGCATTTGTGGACATTTGGAGAGTGAACTAGCGGATGAAGATCGAAAAAAAAAAAGTTAATAACTCTCTAGCTGATATTTCTGATGACTGGTGTTTTGATCCAGGTATTTCTGTAGCAGATTCAGATCTCCAAATCTACCTGAAAACCAACAAGCTAGAATACTATTTCTAAACCAGAAAGATCTGATCTTTTTTTTTTTTCTATTTGAAATTTGTCCTAATGCAATGATCTTGAGCAAAATGGAATTCCACTCAGGCCAAGGTTAGCCAGAAGAGTTGGAAATGGCTTAGAAATAGAATGGGCAATATGGGAGTTTAAATGTAGCAGGCAGTGAAGGTTTTAAGAGGTAACCAGGTCACAAGGGCCCTGATCTAATTTACTCTCATAACCTAACTAATGCTACTGTGAGAGTGGGCTCTCTCACATGGGCAGGCATGAGCTGTTTTTTTCTTCTGTCTTCCATCATGGAATGATACAGCAAGAAGCTCTGACCAAATGCAGAACTCTCAACCGTGTACTTCCCAGGCTGCAGAGCTGTAGGAAATAAATCTCTGACCTTTATAATTTGTCTCATATCTGACACGCTCCTATAGCACACACACGGACTGAGACAACATGCTTGAGGTCTTTCTGCATGGTTTCCCATGGTCCCCAGAAGTCCAAACTCCAGACCATGTTTCACAGGGCCCTTCTCTATCTGGCTCCTACTTATCTTTCTGGTTCCACTTATAAATGAAAGTAGGGGCAAGAAAACTCATAATAAACAACAAACCAAAACCAGAGTCAAAGACAGCTGCTATTTGTTTTAGGACCCTGGTTTACTGTGCAACAGGTAATCTGCACAAGCTCAAGGCTGGCCAGATTGGTTTCCAAAGAGCTGATAATGGCATGGGACTGAGCATCTTTTGGTAAGCATGCATTTTTCCTTTCTGCCTCAGGCTACAGGATGGCTGCACGTGGCAATGAATCACACTCTCTCTTTCTCCCTGTTGATCTTAGAGAGTCAGTGAAAGTTGACCAGGGATCCCTGGCAATGTGGATGCAGATGGCAGTGGGGGACTGTCATCAGCTGCTGACTGTGAGATTTCTAGCCTTAAATACACCTTGCACAACTCCCTGCACTCAACCTTCGTCCTCTTGGCCCCGCCCACTCAGAACCTTTGCATATCCCCAGCACCACGACACTTCTCAACTCTAGCCCTTTAGACAAAGTGGTTTGTCTAGAATGTTCTTTCTGGTGTCTTTTTGCCTAATCAACTCATATCCACTTCATTTTTGGTTAATGGTTGCTTCTTCTCAAATTCATACATGATCCCTGATGTCTAGGAGCAGGCTAGGAGGTGCCCATCTGAGGGTGGGGGGTGGGGAGACTTCTCAGCACTGTACACTGACCATTGGAAGTTTCTCCCCACCACCCCTCCACACCATGCAAGCTTTCAAACACTCTCCCCCCACTGCACTGTCAGGTCCTTAGCAGCAAAGATTGTGTGTTTTGAGCTGTTGTATCCCCGGACCCCACCCATTGCCTGACACATAGTAAATGTTCCAGTAGCCATTTATTAAGTAGATGCACGAAAACATGGCTTGAGAGTTTTGCACTTCTATTTCAATCTATAACCGGTGTCATACATTTTCCTCTTAAACCAGAACAAGTCAATTATATTGAGCTACATTCATTCATATTTTCTTTTTGTGCCTTTTCTCCTTTTGTTCCCCCCCTTTGCTGCTTTTTCTCCTCTGCTCTTCATGGGGCTGTGAGGAACTCTGTTGGAGACCAAGGTCACTCTCAAGGAATTTGATGCTGAGCATGCTGGGTCCCCAGCATCATCCCTAACAGCAAAGAAATATACTCTTGCAGCACTGGCATCCCATATGGGTTTCAGTTGGTATCTTGGCTATTCCACTTCTGATCCAGCTTCCTGTATATTATATGGGAAAGCAGCAGAGGATGGCCCCAAAGCCTTGAGCCCTGTACCCATGTGGGAGGCCCAGAAGAACTTCGTGGCATTGGATTGGCTCAGCTCCAGCCATTGTAGCCATTTTGGAGTGAAAAATCTTCCTCTCTCCTACTGTCTGAAAATCTGCCTTTCCAATAAAAACAAATCTTTAAACCACAATAATTTTAACATGTAAAGCCACTGTAAGCCAAAAGCTCTGGCTAAATAGATGTTTTGGACTTCCTACACTTTCCCATAGAAAACAAAATCTCGATTTCCCATTCTTACAGGTCCTCAGAGCAGCTGCAGAGGCAGTGGGGCGCTTTAGAAACAACCAAGTCTTGGCATCTTATTCCTTTCTGGATCACATTCAAGCCTTCCTCCCTACACCCCCACCATCTACAAAGTTCTCTGACAAGAATGAAAGCAGGTACTTGGCTTCCCAAACATGATGTCCATTAGGGATGCCACATGCACAAGTGACAGGAGCCACAGGGACCTGGTATGTGGCTGGGGTGAAGGACCTCTACAGGGAGAGCTGCCTGAGTATTTTCACAAGGATCCCATGAAACAGCCACCCTGAATGAGGAGTACACTTCATCCAGTCACTGCCAGCAAGGCAGTTGCAGAAGATTCAAGTTGAGAAGTGGTTTGGGATGAGTATTTAGTGCTGCAAATACAATAGTAGTTGGGATGTGCACACTCCATTTTGGAGCATCTGGGTTCAAGTTCTAGCCCCGCTCTTGATTCCAGCTTCCTGCTTCTGGGTACCCTGGGCAGGGGCAGATGGCAACATCTGGTGGAGTCCCTGCCATCTCCCTGTGACCTTGGTTAGGTTCCTGGCTCCACACTTCAACCTGCTCCTTCCTTGGCGTTTGTGAGGGTTTCAATCCTTTCAGGGGATGGGAGATCTGTTTCTGTGTCTCTTCAGTAAATAAATTAAAAAGTGATTTAGGGCAAGGTTATATGTACAATTGCTTCTGCTAACCTTTCTACAGTGAAAATAAAGATTTTTGTTTGTTTGCTTCATAGAGAATTTGGTGACAAAAACATGGAGCATACGTTACAAAACATGTTTGTTATTTGCTTTTGTCTTCAGATAAAGCAAGATTAGATAGCAGAGAAGAAAGATCCTTGAGGCATATTTTGAACTTTCTCATAGGGCTGAGACTTCAAAACTTTGAAACAATTTGTTCCTAATATCCAGTTCTAAACTGCAACACCAGACATTCAGCAATGGAGGAAGAGAATCTAAAGAACACATTTTCCCTCTAGACTTTGAGAGTATCATTGGGTAACAGTACCTCAAGATATTTTTTAACTTGTTTCTCCATTCTACCTATCTTTTTTTCAGAATTAACACATCATTATATGGTCTTTTTTCAAGGCAGCATTTCCAAACCTGTTTCAGTGGGATTGTTCTTTCTGAAGCGTGAGCTGTTTCAAAAAGGTTAAGTGCAAACTTCAGAATCTTATATACTCAAAATTCCAAAATTAAAATGGTAAAAATATTTCGATAAATCTGATCACAAAGTAAAGACTGTGGACATTTACAATTAATCTTTTATTTGCTCTCTGATGAGAGGATAAAGTACCAGGAAAAGCTGCTGGGGTGGCATTTTGTGAGTCCCAGAAACACAACTGTGTGTATTCAGAGGATCTGAACAGCAGTGAAGAGGCCTGAGTAGAAAGGGGCAAAGGCAGTGATGCAGCTGTGGTCTTAACCTCCAACTTAAAGATAATTTCTGAATATGTTGAAATGGCCAGAGAGCCAAAACCACAGTGACAACCCAACCCAGTGAAAAGAAAGGAATGATGAAAGTAAATGGAATGACTGACAAATCCAGATGTTGAATGATGGAGATGAAAAAGAAGAACAGACTAAATTAATGTAACTAAATACAGTGTAATCAGACACACCAAAACATCTCTTTACACCCCACTGTACCCGCCCCTCTGCCCACAGCAGTAATTCTGCGGTGACTCTATAGTTCTGCATATTCTCCACTTACGCTGGCGCCTTCCCTCACACTGCCCATATCTCTCTAGGCTTTCCCCTACTGAGAGCTAAGACAGCACCTGCAGATGGTTCTGACTGATGTGTAGCCAGCATCGGACTCAGGGAAATTGCTTGGGTGGGCCAGCAGCTTCATTCCTCAGCCAGAGAGAACACACTGTGAAAGCGTTGCTGAGGGGCCTAACTCCCGTCAAATACAAACAGGAAATTGGGAGAAACTTGTTAGAATCTCCTGGGAGGCTTTGGAAAGAAGCCAGGTCATTTTGTGGTGGAGGGGCTGACACCAAGTTTCTATGTATATGCACGTGAATCTTCTGTCTTAGGAAAGAGAAACACCTGTAGTTCCTTTCACAAAATGCGTAGGTATTCGTATTTTCAATACCCTCTTTGGTTTGCTGTCATTTAAATGTATTACCCAGTTTCGAGTACTGAAAACTTGATGTCCAGTGTGGTGGTACTAAGGTGGTGGAAGCTTTAGCAGGTGGGGAGCTTTGAGGAAGGGAGTGAGGTCAAGGATCACACTCTTGGAAGGGATTAATGCTGGTCTCAGAGTGGGTTGTGGTAAAGCATAGTTACCCTGCTTTGTTGGTCCCTTCTTTCCGTATGCAGTCAGTTCTTTTTACATTTCTCTGCCGCACTGGGATGCAGTGGGAGACCCTCACCAAGACTCTGGTGCCATGTTTTTGGATTAAAGCTAAACAAAATTCTTTTCTTTATTGGCTGTTGATTTTGATATTTCATTATGGCAACACAAGGTGGACTAATCTGTCATTTAAAAGCTTTCTTGCTCATTTCATAAGTTTTTTTTTTAAAAAAAGATTTACTTATTCTGCTTGAAAACAAATCAGAATTATATATAGTAAGGGAGAGAAACCTTCCATTCACTGGTTTATTCCCCAAATGGCTGCTATGGCCAGAGCTGGGCGGGTCCAAAGCTGGGAGCCAGCAGCATCTTTTGGGTTTGCTGTGTGGGTGCCAAGGTCTGAGGACTTAGGCCTTCCTCAGTGGTTTTCCCAGGCACATTAGCAGGAAGCTAGATTGGAAGTAAAGCTGCTGAGACAGGAATTAGCACCTTTATGGGATGCTGGCATTGCAGACAGAGGATTAGCTTATATGCCACCATGCCAGCCCTCCTCCTTGTCCCAGTTCATAAACATCTCCCACATATAGATTCAAACAGCCATACTTCAGAAACATCACAACTTATTTCTTATCTTTTTTTTTAATGGATTATTTTATTTGAAAAGCAGAACAGAGAAAATGAGAAAGAGATATCTTTCATCCACTTGTGTGGTCCCCAAAAGGAAACAATGGTTAGAACTGGGTCGATATGAAGCCAGAATTCAGTTACTTCTGAGTCATGCACATAGGTTCAGGGGCCCAAGTACTTGGGCCATCCTCTGCTGCTTCCTCAGGCACATTAGCAAGGAGCTGGATCAGAAGTGGAGCAGACAGGAATTGAACTGCTACCCATATGGGATCCTGTGCCACAGATAGCAGATTTACCTACTACACTGGAGCACCAGTCCTATCTTCCCTACTTTTGTATCACTCACTCCATCAACTCCAAAATCATGTTCATCATTAGAAAATTATTCCCTGAAGCCATAGATGATGGTTTTGCCCTCAAGAGATTTCTTTGCCTATTTCCCTAAATGTTTTGTGGAGCCAATAGAATTGCAGGTACATAGTAGCACATTCACCCTGCCCTGCCCTGTCACTGAGGTCAAAGGTTCACACTGTGTTTTCATCAGATTTAGATGAGGTTCTCCCTTTGTCAGGCAAGAAACAGCTTGAAGTGCTTCCCCTGAGATGACAGATCAATTTATTAGACAGAATTCTCCCTTCATCCATGTCCTAGAGCCCCTGTAGAGGTCTCACAGAATTTACGCAACAAGGACATTCTGGGGCTCTCATTTTTCTATGCATACAATTGAAAAGAAACTCCAGATAGTATTTGCAACTTTTTCATTGGAAAGAGGCATAAAATTCTGTGTCTCATCTTCGCTCATGAAAGAAAATTAACTGTGGACAGTCAGCAGACAGAGCTTGTCATAAGAGGGAATGAAAAAATTATGCAGAGCCCATTTAGCTTCTAGTGAATGTGACAGGTATTTCCAAGGAATATTTTAAAAATGAATGCTCTATGGACATGTTTTTCCACCAATTAAAACATGGCATAATAGAGCTCTTTGCTGCCATGTCCTGTGAACGTGACCTTGATTACTGAAAGCCTGGATCCTGGCCCTATAATAAAGCCAACAGTTGTGATGCACTGACTTGTGTTTTCAAAATATTTCAGAGAAGGCCCGCAGTAGCCTAGTGGTAAAGTCCTTGCCTTGCATGCACCAGGATCCCATATAGGTGCCGGTTCCCTGCTTGTAGCCCGGGAAAGCAGCCAAGGACAGCCCAAAGCCTTGGGACCCTACACCCAAGTAGGTGACTCAAAAGAAGCTCCTGGATCCTGGGTTTGGATCATCTCAGCTCTGGCCATTGCAGCCACTTGAGAAGTAAATCATCAGACAGAAGATCATTCTGTCTCTCCTCTCTGTAAATCTAACTTTGCAATAAAATCTTAAAGGAAAAAAAAATAGAACATCTAAAAAATAGAGTTCATCCTCCATGTCCAGTGAGGGAAAAAAACTTGCATTTTGGTTATATTCTCCCAAGAATGCATGAGAGTTAGGGCAAGCACCATGATGATCAGGCGAGCCACGTGCTTTGGATACCTGCATCCCACGTCAGAGTTCAAATTGAGTCCTAGATACTCTACTTTTGATCTAGTTTTCTAGTAATGGGCCTGGCAAGACAGCAGATGATGACTCAAGCACATGGGTCCTGGCCACCCTTGTAGGAGACCTTTATAGTGTTCCAGGTTCCTGACTTTGGCCAGGCCCAGGCCTGGCTGTTGCAGGCATTTAAGGAGTAAAGCAGCAGATAGAGGTTCTCTTCTTCTGTTTCTCATCCTCTTTGTCATTTACCTTTCAAATAAACAAAGTTTTAAAAAGTAGATTTAATTATAGGAAAATAATATATCAAAATCATAAAAAGAAATAGAAAAATTTTTAAATTCTCAGAGATAAGTACTGTGAACATGTATAAATTCAGTTTCTTTCCATATGCCAATATGTGTATTCAAAAAGTTTACTTCTCAATGCTTTTATGCTTCCCTGTATACACCCATCCAACTTTTTGTTGACTTAATAAAATATATAGTAAGCACCAGTCAGTGTGTCATTAGGGTTAAAATAACTCACAGAAGTGTTGTGTTCCCTGTATGATGCTCATGACCCTTTCAGACTAAAGAAGTTAGATCTTAAAACACATAATAGCTTATTTTTCTTTGGGGGAATAAACTATACTTTTCCTTTAACCTTCAAGCTGTAAAGCATTTCAAATGTCTCCATCTTCTTCACCTCCACAAATTCTAACCTCCCTTTGCTTTTTTGCTTATTTTAATAAGTCCTTACAATTCAAGGG